GTGTGTGTGTGTGTGTGTGTGTGTGTGTGTGTGTGTGTGTGTGTGTGTGTGTGTGTGTGTGTGTGTGTGTGTGTGTGTGTGTGTGTGTGTGTGTGTGTGTGTGTATTGCTGTTATATATATATATATATATATATATTAGTTGCGTGTAGGTGAGTTCCTCCTCGTGCTGCTTTTCCTCCCACTCACCCCCTACACCGCGATGTCGCCGTCGTCGCAGCTTTACAGGTTCGGACGCACGCAAGTCCGTGCCCCGCCGAGGGGTGTAGCCATCGACGCGGTGAGGGACTTGCTGGACGACAGTGTGACCCCCGCACGCTGCAGGTTGAGGCTCCGCTCTGCCACGTTGTGCGGAAAGACGGCCCGAGTCGCGTCCTGCAGAACGACGACCTCAAAGTTCTCTTTCAAGGCGTCCAGCGCCGTGTAGTAGACGCAGTAGTCGAAGGCGACGCCGCAGATAAACACACGGCGCACGTCCATTTCCCGCAGCAGAGCGGCGAGGCCAGTTGCCTTGCCGTGTTCGTCGCTGAAGCCGGAGTAGCACTCGGCGTCCGCGTCGGAGCCCTTGTGCACGACGTGGTCCACGTTCCCCAGCCGCAGCCGCGGGTGCAGCGCGGCGCCGGCGGTGGCCTGCACGCAGTGCGGCGGCCATGGCCCCCCGGGCCCGGCGGGGCGGCGGAAGGAGCAGTGGCCCGGCGGGTGCCAGTCCTTCGTCACGACGACGGCGCGGAAACGGTAGGCGCGGCAGAGGCGGTTGATCACCGGGACCACCTCCGCCGCCCCCGGCACCGACAGCGGCCCGTCAGGACGCACAAAGTCGTTCTGCATGTCCACTACGACGAGGGCGTCGTGGCGCGGTGAAACGGTAATCAGCGGCGTGGCTGCTGCGGCCACCGAGGTCCCCTTCGTGCAAGTGCCTCGACGCGCCTTGTCCTCGCGCGCCTCCTGCGGAAGCCGCGGCTCAGACATTCACACACGCTCACGCTCACACTCGCACATACACGAGGGAAGAAGAAAAAGAGCAAAGTACGCGCGAGCGTATGCGTGTGCGTGTGTGTGTGTGTGCGTACGGGCTCCACGCGTGCAGGCACCCACCTAACCGTCACCGCGGTACAGGAAGAGCATCGGAGCAAGCAGAGGAGGGAGAGGCGCAACACCGCGCGCAGAAGATATAACGCATATTCACGTTGTTGTTGTTGTTTCCCCCTTCCTCACACGCCTCTTAGGATGTGGTCCCCACGACGCGGAGGTCCCACAAACGCCCTCAGTAGAACTGCCGCCAGGGCCGCCGCCGCGTGCAGCAGGGCGCAAAGAAGAAACACGCTCTGCAGGGCCATTGTGCCCTGCACGAACAAAATCAGGCACACGAGGGCGTTGAGGGGGGCCCGGAAGAGGCTCATCACAGAGGCGCGGCACTCCTCCGGGACGTACGCCGCCCGCAGCGTCGCGATGCAGGGCCAAAAGAAGCCCACCACCGCCTCAAACACAGTCATTGCCGCCATCTTTCCGGCACGGCTCTCCGTGTGGGAAAGCGCCACCATGGTGGCGGCGGCAACCATGTACAGCACGGGCATCCACGCTACAACGCGCTCGATAGATAGGTCAAACACGAGCCCGCCCAGGCTCAGGGCAAGCATGAAGCTGGCAAAGACGAGTCCGTGCGGCACCGCGCCAGCTGTCTCCAGCGCGGGTGTCCAGAAAAATATGAAGGCGTACATGGCGCCCTCGAACAGGGACTGCTGCACGCCCGTTAGAAGAATGCGGTAGTCGTCACGCACCGCAGTGGAGGCAGACACCATCTGTCGCCAAAGGTTGGCTTGTGGGGCGCCGTAGTTCTCCGGCCAGCGCACGGCGACCACAGCAAAGCATAGCATGAGCAGAGCAGCGCTCAGGTCAAAGGGGGCAACGGGGTGACTAAACGCGTCGGCGGCCCATTGGGCCACGAGTCCAGAAAGAACCGCTACTAGACCGTTTCCAACCGTCATCCGTGAGAACGTTTCCCCCAGCCACGCCGGATCGTAGCCTCGTGTGTGATGCTCGCTGATCATCCAGCTCTCGAAGGCCGACCACAGCAAGGAGGTAGCCACGCCGCCCAGCAGGCGGCCAACCACGAGCACAGGGAAACTGTTGACGTGCTTCGTGGCACAGCTGAGGGCGTAGACGAGGCAGTAAAGCAGGCACACTGTCCTGCGACCACACATGTCTGCAAAGGGGCCAACCCAGGTCCCAAGCAGCAGCGAGGAGCCGAAGCCAACGATAAACAAAAGGCCGCCCTCACGCCGGCTCAGCCCATAAAACGAGTATAAACGATACACGTAAGGTCCCTGCATCCAGTCAGCGGCCATGGCCAAGAAGTACACAAGCAAAAACTGAAGCTGAAATCTTTTGAAGGCGGGCGACGAGGAGACGGAGACATGGGAGTGGGTTTTTGCCTGAATGTACCTTCTGCCGCCCTTGTAGACGCCCGCGACGGTGTACAAGACGACCATAAGGAGAAATACAAACCCGTACACGTCCCCCATTTGGCCTAAACTTGAAGAATCCAAGCCGCTGGGCTTGAAGAGAAACAGTAAAACTCCCTTCCACTTCCTTTGGAAGATAAAAGTGTTAGTGTCAACTGAAAGAAGGCAGTCAATGATGTCAATGGTCCTCCGCAATGCATCCACACATGGCAACACGGTGCCGGAGTGTCATTTCCCCTTCGCCTTCACTCTCTCTCTCTCTATCCCACACACATTACACACCTTCTCTCTTTCTCTTGCGTTCTCTATGCAGGTCGTTTTCTACGAGTGTTATCCCACACCCAGTGGACCTCTGTACCTGGCACGTACGCCAAGGGCCAAGGGAGAAAAAAAAAAACACATGCACAGGCCGAGCCGCACTCTACACGAAGCCTGCGGCCCACGCCTCCACAACCCCTTGGGCTCGCCTAACAACGCAGGTCGCAAAGGGACGGTCCACGGCGTCGACACCGCACTCCGCCAAGCGTGTGTACAACGCAAGACTTCCCGGTGGAATCTCTGACAACTCCCTGCGTCGACGCCGCACACGTCGTTCCTCCTCCGCCTCTCCCGCTTCACTTCCACCCCCGTCCGCTACGCCGCCGTCCACAGCACCCTCAGAGCCGCCACTAGTGCTACTGCTGCTGCCGCTGTGAGTGCCACTTCCCTTCGGCATCGAGTAGAGGCTGTTGAATTGTGATAAGTGGCCGTGCTGCTGCAGCAGCTCCGCCTCCGTCCGCGAGGCATCACCTGGCCAAGGGCGGCCCTCATCGCGCGGAGGAGTACACGCAGCCTGAATACTACAGGCCCTCAACTGGATGTTGTGACCCTCTGGACTCGCACGCCTCGCTGGAGTCGTTCGTGCCACCCGATTGCATGGGCTGCACTCTGCAGAGGGCCTCGATGTTGTTCTGCTCCGCGACCTCTGCGCTGGCGGCGTCGCCGTGGCGCTGCTTGCGGTGGTGTCCTTGACGGCCGGTGCAGCCACCGGCGCCGTTGCATGCCCGCGCGTGTACCTCGTCCCGTCCTCCTCCTCGGAGGAGGAGGAAGAGGAGCTCGTGGAGGGCTGCAGAACACCCACCGTCGTCGCGCTCGCGTGGGCCATGGCGTCCATCAGCTGCTGCGTAAAGTCTTCAATCTGTGGCGAGCCACGCTGCAGGGCGGGGGCCGCAGCCAAGGCAGCCGCGGTGGATGCCGGGCGCTTCCGCTTTCTCGAGTGCTTCGATCCCATCGCTCGCCGGTGGCCCCTACCGTGCCGCCTGAGACTTCCCCCCTTCCCCCGGCTGCCACCCCGCAAGCCGCAGTGCTCCCTCCACATGGGGGCGGGCATAGCGAGAGGGGGGAAAAAAAAAGAGCGAAGAGACGGCAGAAGCGTGGGCGGAAGGTGATGCGGCTCCATCACCGGAGGCGCACTTACGCACGCAAGCCAATCAACAGCGGGCATCAAAGAAAAAAACACACACAGAGAAAGTTTAAACAAAGTGGGAGAAAGTAGAAAAAGATGGCAACGGTTAGCTCAGTGCAGTTCTTTTAACAACATGTCCAGCTTTGCTTGCAGCGAGTCTAACTCCGCCCGCTTCTGCGTCAGCTGCTGCTCCCCGCGTCGCGAAGCCTCGTCAATCCTGCGTCTTGTCTGCTCAATGCTTGCATGCAGGCTTTGAATGTACTGCGACTGCAGCAGCGACTCCTCATGCAGCCTCCCATTCCGTATCGCCTCCAGTTTTACCAGACGCTGAAAGAACATCTTTTCATGCAGCGCCACGCGACGCATGACGCTCGTGTACTCTGAGACTAGCCGCCTCCGCTGCCGCTGCTCCGCCGTCGCCAGCCTCCGCAGCTTCGCGGTAGCCGCATCCAGGGCGGTCTCGTTTGTCGTCGGCGCCAACGCAGCCACGCCCGCCTCTCCCCGTCGCTCAAAGTACTCCGACTGTTCCCTCATCAGCTGCTGCATCACCCGTAGGTAGTAGTCATGCACGTACTCGGCGTTCAGGTCGAGCGCCGCCGCCTCATCCTCCGCGTCCCACCACCATCGACTGCGCCGGTAGGTGGTGGCTGTAAGCCCCGCTTCGCCCTTGTGGAAGCAGCTGGGGGCGGGGGTATCCTCGGCGGCCGCCTGCAGGGCCCTCGCGTCGTCCTCGCGCCCCAGCTCGATTGCCAGCTGGTGATGCAGGAAGTCCATCGCGCGGAAGTTCCAAATCCGGGAGGTGCTATTCTGCATCGCGCAGGAGTGCCCGGTGCTCTCAAAGTGGTGCGAGGCATCACTGCGGTGGCCCCAGCCACACGCCACCCAGCCACACACAAGACACGTCCACAAGTCACTGCAGGCGCCACACGCGTCGCACTCTGACTTCAGCAACGCCATTGAAAACCGGCAGAGCGGACATGACTGGCCGACATCCTCCAGATGCTTCTGGAAGCATGAGAGGTGAAACACATGTTTGCACAAGGTCACAATAAACGGCTTACTGGAGGCAGTTTCTTGACAGATGGTGCAGAAGTCCTCCGTCGGCGTCAGCGAGACGGTGTGCGCCAGGCGTCCTCCGCCCTGTCGCTCCAAGCCCCGCCATGCCTTACTACCACCCGCACAGGCGCTCTGCGATTGGGCGGCGGGCACCACTCCCCCATGCGTCACACTACACAACTCCGCCAGCTTGACGGTTTCCTCTCCGCCCGCGCCGTGCGGCCTCCTGCTGCTGCCCACGTCATCGTCATCATCCTCGTCGCCGCCTGCCCCTAGCCGCGAGCGCCTTACGCTGGCCGCCTCGCAGACGAACTCCGACACCGTGGGCGGGTGCCCCGTCAGATTCGCATGCAGGAGCTGGCCCTTTGCGCGTGCCGCGTCACCGGCGGTGGCGAACTGCAGCAACAGACAATACGTCCGGCCCTCGTCCGGGGCGCAGCCCACCCGAACGGCGCAGAGGCAACCCTCCGCGGCACTGCACCTCGCGCCGCCTTCGGCCGGCGGTGGGGCGACGGCGGCGCACGCGGCAAGGCACTGCAACGCCTGCAGCAGCGTCACTCCAACTGGGATGGAGTGCACGAGCAGCCACCGGGTTGGTTTGGCCCGCTCGTAGAAGAGCTCCACCGCGGCCGCCTTTTCCTTGTCAAAAAACTCCACAACAGACACTTCCACTGCCGACATTGTCCCCGGCTCCCCTGCCGCTGGGGGAATCGGAAGGCAAAAAGGAGAAGAGAAGCAAAAACGCAAACCCAAACACACAAAAAAAAAAGATATGAACACGAATGCATCGCACACTACTCAAAGGCACGACTTCACGCGGCAAGAGACGCAAAGGGGCACCAGCAAATGCGCCAAACCCACACCGCAGAATGACGCGCGGGGAAGATGAGGGCAGCCCCCACGCAAAAGTGAATTTAGGCATAAAACAGAAACAAAGAAATGGGATGAAGAACGGCGAAACCATATATATATATATATATATGTGAGCGACCTAAGAATTCCACACACCATCTGTCTACCGCGAGGACACCTGCTGGAGCTTCGAGTTCCACATGAAGCCGAAGCTCACGGTGCGGTGTGTCAGCTGCTTGTAGACGTGCGCGATGAGCGGCAGACGCGACTCCACGCGCTTGCGATCACGCGAGTCGAGGAACACCTTCATCACCTTGCTGCCGTCCGTGCGGCAGCGCCAGCGGCGGCCCACGACGTCGCACGGGTAGAGCAGGTCATTGAGGATGTTCTCGAACACCGCCACGCTCGTGCGGGAGCGCTGCACCTTCTGCAGCTTGTACACGTCATTCGGGCGCTTCGTGATCTTGCGCTGCGCCACAAGCGCCACGACGCTGCCGGGGAAGCGCTTCTCCAGCTCCGCCGTCAGCGTGCGCTGAATCTTGCGCACCAGCATCAGAAACCGCAGCGGGTAGAGAACCACCATTGCCGTCTTGCGG